ATCAGAGGAGCAGGAAGGCTGACGTTTCGGACCTAGACCCTTCTTTAGAAAAAGGGTCAGTCCAGACCCGAAACGTCAGCTTTCCTGCTCCTCTGATGCTGCTTGGCCTGCTGTGTTCAGCAGCTCCATACCTTGTTATCTCTGTTATCAGATTAACTCTCATTTGCATTGCTTGGTAGATAACTTACTTCAAATGCCTTTCCAGTCTCTTTGCAAATTTAGCCATCTTGTTTAATGCTTAATCCCTTTCTTTATTGGACTGTACATTTCCACAAAATGGCTGCTTGTTACCTGCATGCAACTCTACCCACTTAAAATGGCTCCTGCCATTTAACAGCACTTGCTTTGGAGGGTTTATTGATAAAAGAGGTTAGTCCTGTGGAGGAAAAGCAAAAAGCAAAGGCATAAATATTTGAAAGTTCAGGAAAGTCCTGACTTCAACAAATAATTTTAGTATTTCATTAGTGATCTTTCTGTTAGAATCAGTGGTGTTATTAAGTTTTTTATGTTATGTCTGTGGTAATGTAAACACTGGATTCAAGCCAATTAATATTTAGTTATTAAGAGTGCAAATTAAATATTAATTCTAACATAAAATCCTCAGATTCAAATGAAGCTTCAGATCACAATGTAGGTGTTCAACAACTTAAACCAAAATCTATATATCATACGGGACAAAGCCTGCAAGGATGAAGAGCGATAACAGCATTCACTACTTTACTCGGAAAGAATATGGGACAAATTAAATGAATAAATGGCACTTTGTTTTTGTAAGCTTCAGTGTTACAATGTCAAGGCCAGATGACTTTATCCTTCCATTGTTGTAACTCCCCAGGATTAACCCAGAAGAGGATTTTCAATTCCACTAGCCATTGTAGAAGGTTTTGCCTTCTACACATTTCCTTTATCCATTCTGATTGAGGCTGCAAATTCAAGAGTGAGTCTGGGTTGGTTCAATCCAATTCAATGTCTGAACTTTTTTTTTGTCCCAGTTAAACCTTTACAGCCAACTGGATGGACAGTGCACAAAATAATTTTCTGAATTGTGCAATGCGTTTAAAGTAGTGGCTCAATTCAACAACATTGCAACTTCAAGTATAAATCAGTGGCAGGGAGTAATACTTTGGGGTCATAGAATTCGTACACTTTGGAAGTGGGCTTTTTAGCCCATTGAGTCCACACTGCCTCACCTTCCCCACCCTATCCCTGTAACCCTGCAATTCCAATAGCTGACCCATGTAGCCTGCACATCTCTCGACACAATAAACAATTTAGCATAGCCAAATCACCTAACCTGTACATCTTTGGACCGTGGGAGGAAACCAGAGCACCTGGAGGAAACCCATGCAGACACAGGGACAGTGTCTCCACACAGTCACCCGAGGGTATAATTGAACTCAGGTCTCTGACGCTGTGAGGCAGCAGTGCTAACCACTGAGCCGCCATGGATTCATCAAGGCTAATTAGGGTCCTAATCTCTAAAACCTCTGGCCTAGTGTTTCCCAAACTGTTTTGCACTGTGACCCCATTTCAAGACTTGAAAACTGTCATGATTCCTCAGTGAGAATCAGACGTAAAAGGGGAAAGAAGACTAGAGGGCAGATAACAGGACACAAAGACCCCGTGAGAGTGGGGTGAAAGGGGGCAGAGCTTCATGGCAGCTATTGCTGCCTTGGAGCTCACAACCCTGCTCGGGGTCCTCACCCTACTTTGGGATGTCCTGCTCTAAACACTCAGACTCCCAAATGTCATCGTTAGGATGAAGCTTATTGGAGTTATCTTATAGGAACATAGAAAGAGAAGTAGGCCGTGAGTCCCTGGAGCCTGAGCAATTCATACACGAAACCAACCTTTTCCCATGTTCCGTAATACCATTAGTTAACAAAATCCTATTGAAATCAGATTTAAATACATCACTAATCCAGCATCAATTGACATTTGCAAAAGGGAATCCTAACTTCTACCAGCTTTATATTGTAGAAATGTTCCCTAATTTCACTTCTGTTTGGCCATCTCTAATTTTTAGTCTATGCCTTCCATCAGACACTCCAACTGGAAGTACATATATCCATCTGTTCCCCTCAGTACCTTTAAAGCTTTGTTCAAATCAATTATTAACCTTCTAGACTCAAGGCAATATGATCCCAGTTTCCATATTCTCTTTTCATAATTTAACCCTCGGACTTTTGCTAGCGAAGCTTGTAGCCAATCCATCCATCCTAAGGTGTGGTGCTCAGAGATGATCTCAGAGCTCCTGGTATCCTCTCACCAGGGCTTTGTAAAACTGAAGTATGACTTCTACCACTTGATTTTTAGTCCTTTAGATACGAAGACCAACATTCTTTTTAAGTTAACCCTCAAAAATCATAAAACATGTTTGGCTTCTTCTTTAGTTATTTTAATTTAGTTATTTCTCGAAATAAGAATTGCAGCTACTAGAACTATGCATCTCATTTACTTTTGATAACCTATAATAGAAATTGATCTTGAAAGTAAACGAAAATATGTTTTGAAAAAACTAACTTGGGTATGAATGATTTATTCTCAACTAGAATTCGAAAATTCTGTTCATCGGTTTGTGCCCAGATCTCTGCAAGAAACAATCTCAGATGACAAGAATGGTAAGTCCTGAATTATATCCTTCATGAAGCTATTAGTCCAGATTTTAATTCTTGGTGGGTGTTGGTTGGGTGAACTGCAGCTCATCTCCAACTCCTGCAGAAATGAGGCCCAGACTACTTTGATGGGCCCAGGATTAATTTAAACGAGACCAACATCTCACCCATTTCATACGGTAAGAGGTGGGAAAAATCTTGCCCCAAAGTAGGTGTCTGGATCGAATGTTGGGAATGTCTCACAAGGATATTGTGCTCAGATAAAGTTAGGGGAAGAGGCTGATTGGGTATGTGCAGAGAAGGCCCTACGGAATGCTTAAGCTCTCCTTGTGAGGCCTAGAAGAACAGTTTGGAGTTCTTCAGGTCACACAAAAGAAAGAAAAACGATGTATTAGTCCTTTCTGGTGCGTGATCTGCTTCTGGGGTAGTTCAGCCTGGTAGGAGAGATGTAGAGGATTCTTTGTCTGGCCTGAGATGGACATCACTGGGATAATTACCTATATAAAGAAGATCCTCCCCAGTTTTGGGTCACAGTAAAATGATGTACAGGGAGATTCTAACAAGTAAACCACCCAAGCTGTTGCAATTGCCCACAATCTGTCTCCCAGGTGGGATGAACTCAACATTTCCTCTTGTGTTTGAAACATACAAACGTAAATGAGATGAAACAAAGTTTTAAAAATGCCAGCCCATTGAACAATCTAGTAGCGATCTATTATGACATGCAAGATAAAATCTCAACTGTTTTTTCAGGGTTTTGCAGCACTTGGGGACTTGGAGCATTCAGGACATTTGATGACACATTTTATCATTTTACATCAACCTGCAACTACATTCTGAGTCGCCATTGCATAAGTGGTGCAGAGGATTTCAACATCCAGATCCGTCGAGGGTCAGATGGTAATCTGGAACACGTATTCATCCAGATAGAAGGGGTCAAAATTCTGGTGGTGAATGGGACAATTTCAGTTCAAGATGTGCAGTAAGTTTTGTTTGTATCTGCTTTTTAATTACAAGTTTGCGTTTATATTTCTCTCTTTTATTAAAATGCTTCTTTTAGAATTGAAAAAAATCTCAAAATAGCAGTCCAATAATTAAATTATTAGAACCAACGTAAGTGCCCAGAAACACATTCAATTTCATATGTCCACATTTAAATATAACTAAGAACCTTCAATACTTTGTAGGTGCCTGTAGCCACTGTTCTTTGTTCTATAAATCTGCTGTTAATCTACTATTTGAAGATAATTCAAAATCTCCAGTGGAAGAGGCTGATTGTGATTTTTCAATGGCGATTTCTCTGCAAGTGCTTTCTAGTCATGATTTAGCATGGAAACAGGCCATTCTGCCCACCATGTCCACACCAATCCTCAGAAGAGCATCCCACCCATGCTCAACACCCCTACCCTATCCCTGTAACTCTGCATTTCCCATGGCTAATCCACCGAACCCGCACATCGCTGGACACCATCGGCAATTTAGCATGGCCAATCCACCTTGTTAAAGATGTATTATCTTATAGCAGTTACATTGTGGTTAGAGCTCTGTGCAGAATTTCTTTGCAATTCTGTCTGTGTGGTACGCTAATCGCATTGATTGGGGCAACTCACGACAATTCTAGATTCCTGTAATCATTTTAAAACATAAAATCTTGTTGTATCATCCTGGAAATCTAATCAAAGTATTCTGCTGTTACTTTTCATTGAAGATCAAAATTTTTAAAAAGTTTATCTGTTTTAAACAGAATGCTAACAAAAAATCTGTCCAATTTATTGAACTACCACCCGAGTACACCCTTATTGTTTCTTTGCTTGCAAACCACCCTCCCCCACCAAGAATTGTACCAATTCCCTTCCAATTTCACCAATTTATCCTTCTGGCTTGTGTTTCAGAACAATTTGCTTGGGCAGGCCTTTTCAAATTGTGGATCCTGACCCCAATTGGGTTACAAGTCAATATTTTGGCATTGCAAGGTCCTGGAGTGTTTCTAACAGCTGTAAAGCCCTTATAATCCTTGCATCTTAGTCCTTGTTGATATGACCCAACAGCCAGGTCTTTGAGACCTGATTTCTGCTGTAAAGAAAACCTGAGGTGAAGTATTTGCTTTTTTGAACAAAAAGCCCTGCAGTTCCGACAACTCCCACCACACTGAACCTGATCCCAAACCCACACTGGAAATCCTCCACCCACTTAATAGTTGTCACCATCACCTCTATACCTTCCCTCCCAACAACTTCCCCTAGGGTGACATGACATCTAAGCAATTAAAATAGGGTCACATCGGGATAAGGATCTGGAAGTACTGTGCTAGTGCATTCTCATGAATTAATGGTGTAGTTGAACCCTTCCAAACACAATTAGCCAATATTTTCCTATTGTGTTTCTCATTCCAAACTTCTCTTGCATTGAAATGCCTTTTCTCATCATCGTACCTAACACTTGCAAACAAATAGAAGTACCTATGGACAAGAAATAAGACTTCAAGAGAGAAAATAAACTAGCAATTACAAATATGAAATCAAAATCTTTGCAAAACTTTTTTTCCTCCTTTTTCTTTGTTCATTCATGGGATGAGGGTGTTGCTGGTCAGGCAGCATTTATTGCCCATCCCTAATTGCCCACAAGGCAGTTGAGAGTCAACCACATTGCTGTCGGTCTAGAGTCACATGTAGTCCAGACCAGGTAAGGATGGCAGTGTCCTTCCCTAAAGGACATTAGTGAAGCAGATGGGTTTTTCCTGACAAATGACACTGGATTCATAGTCATCATTAGACTCTTAATTCCAGATATTTATTGAATTAAAATTCCACCATCTGCCATGGCAGGAATCGAACCTGGGTCCCTAGAACATTATCTGGGTCTCTGGATTAACAGTCCAGTGACAATACCACGAGGCCATTGCCTCCCCGAAATGTTGGGGCCTATTGGTCTATGACAATTATTATCTATCATTTGTCGTTAGTTCGATTATGTTACATTAAATTGAAGCTTTTCTTATTGCAATATAAATACTATTCTTGATACTTCGATCATTCAGTATTTACTTTGCAGAGTTACGGTACCATTTGATGACAAGCTAATAAGTATTCAGCCATATGGAATTTACACACGGATTTATAACAGGAAACACACTATATCGTTGATTTGGAACCATCAAGATGCATTATCGGTAAAATTATTATGCAAGATTTTGTCAATTTTGTTTAGTGTGTAATAGTTTGTGTATACAAAAACCAAAATTGCTGGTGAAACTCAACAGGTCAGGCAGCAATTACGGAGAGAAATCAGCTAAAGTTTCAGATCCAGTTACCCTTCTTCAGAACATAGCTTGTGTACATACTACAATCAGAATAAATAAATGGGAAGCTGTACACTTTACTGGGAAGGTAGAACATGTGCTTTGTGTGAATAGCTCAGATTCCAAGCAGAAACATTGCTGTTCATTGGGAGCTTGCCAATGGTGGGTACAAAAGGAAACTGGAAACTGCTACAGGGTTTAAATGCCTGAAGCATGTCTCGTAAAGTGTATTTTTTCTTTGAAGCAAAGGAAAAATTGCTACCAGAACAAGTCTGCCAATAACCAGGAAGGTAACAGCAATGGCAGGAGTTTCTGGGAGGAATTCAGGAGACACAGCAAAAATTCATCCCTAGGTAAAAGAAGCATGGCACAGGGAGGATGAGGCAACCATGGCTGACTAAGGAAGTCAGGGGTAGCGTAAAAGCAAAAGTGAAAGCATATAATGTGACGAAGGGCAGTGGGAAACCAGAGGATTGGGAAGTTTACAAAGACCAACAGAGGGCAACGAAAAAAGAAATAAGGAGGGAGAAGATTAAATATGAGGGTAAGCTAGCCAGTAATATAAATGAAGACTGTAAGAGTTTCTTTAGATATATAAAGGGCAAAAGAGAGGCAAAAGTGGACATTGGACTACTGCAAAATGACGGTGGAGAGATAGTAGTGGGGAACAAGGAAATGGCTGAGGAACTGAATAATTACTTCACATCTGACTTCACAGTGGAAGACATGAGTAATCTCCCAAAAATTCAAGAGAGTCAGGGGCAGAGCTGAGTATGGTGGCCATCACCAAGGAAGAGGTGTTAATAAAACTGATTGGCCTGAAGATGGATAAATCACCTGGATCAGATGGGCTAAAGGAGATAGCTGAAGAGATAGTGGAAGCGTTAGTGGTGATCTTTCAGGAATCGTTAGTGTCAGGGAGGGTCCCAGAGGACTGGAAAATCGCTAACGTCACACCCCTGTTTAAAAAGGGAGTAAGGCAAAAGATGGAAATTTATAGGCCGATTAGCCTAACCTCGGTCGTGGGTAAGATTTTGGAGTCCATTGTGAAGGATGAGATTTCTGAATATTTAAAAGTGTATGGTAAAACAGGGCAAAGTCAGCATGGCTTCATCAAGGGAAGGCCATGCCTGACAAATCTGCTAGAATTCTTTGAGGAAGTAACGAGCAGGGTAGACCAAGGAGAGCCATTGGACGTTATCTACCTGGATTTCAAGGAGGCCTTTGACAAGGTGCCGCACAGGAGGCTGCTGAGAAAGATAAGGGCCCATGGTGTTAGAGGCAAGGTGCTAGCATGGATAGAAGATTGGCTGTCTGGCAGAAAGCAGAGAGTGGGGATAAAGGGGTCTTTCTCAGGATGGCAGCCGGTGACAAGTGGTGTTCCACAAGGGTCAGTGTTGGGACCACAACTTTTCACTTTATACATTAATGATCTAAATGAAGGAACTGAGGGCAGTCTGGCTACGTTTGCAGACAATACAAAAAAAGGTAGAGGGACAGGTAGTATTGAGGAGATGGGGAGGCTGCAGAAGGATTTGGACAGGTTAGGAGAGTGGGCAAAGAAGTGGCAGATGGAGTACAACGTGGGAAAGTGTGAGGTCATGCACTTTGGTAAGAAGAATAAAAGCATGGACTATATTCTAAATGTGGAGAAAATTCAGAAGTCTGAAATATAAAGAGACTTGGGAGTTCTAGTCCAGGATTCTCTCAAGGTAAACTTGCAAGTTGAGTCAGTAGTCAGGAAGGCAGATGCAATATTGGCATTAATTTTGAGAGGTCTTGAATATAAAAGCAGGGATGTACTACTAAGGCTTTATAAGGCTCTGGTCAGGTCACATTTAGAGTATCGTGTGCAGTTTTGGGCCCCATATCTCAGGAAGGATGTACTGGCCCTGGAGCAGGTTCAGAGGAAGTTCACAAGAATGGTCCCAGGAATGAAAAGCTTAACATATGAAGAACGTTTGAGGACTCTGGGACTATACTCATTGGAGTTTAGAAGAATGAGGAGGGATCTAATTGAAACTTACAGAATACTGAACGGCCTGGACAGAGTGGATGTTGGGAAGATATTTTCATTTATAGGAAAGACTAGGGCCTGAGGGCACAGCCTTAGAGTAAAGGAAAGACCTGTTAGAACGGAGATAAGGAGAAACTTCTTCAGCCAGAGACTGGTGAATCAATGGAGTTCACTGCCACAGAAGGCTGTGGAGGCCAGGTCATCGAGTATATTTAAGACTGAGATAGATAGGTTCTTGATTATCAAGGGGATCAAGGATTACGGGGAGAAAGTGGGAGAATGGGGTTGAGGAACTTATCAGCTATGATTGAACGGCAGAGCAGACTTGATGGGCCGAATGGCCTAATTTCTGCTCCTACGTCTTATGGACTTATGGTCTTACACCATTGGGAAGAAAAGAAGTGGCAGAATAATTTCACAATCATTAGTATAAACCACATAATCCTCGGTTTTGCCATTTAGGTGTTAGAAACTGTAATGATTTTACTAGATGGGCAAAGTAAATCAATCAAAAAATTCCTTCCAAGAATGTGCAATTTCATACAAACTGGATACAATGAAAGGGAAAACTGTTTACAAAAACACCTCCTTTCATAATAATGAATCGCAATTCGTATTGCCCCAGATAAGAATTTGAATTGTCATGTTGAGTATTTTAGACGCAGCTCATTCTAAACTTTTACATTACTTCTGTTTGCAGTTAACTCTAGACAATGAATATAAAGGACAACTCTGTGGCCTGTGTGGAAAATTTGACGACAACATCAAAACCTCTCATGGTAAAATGTTAACACAATAAATATATTTTTCTTGTTAGAATGAATGAAATTCCTTGCAATAGAGTTATGATTTGTCAATGTAATTACTAACAGGTTTTCTATCATTTGTTGAGCTCTGTTGTCATATATTTGTTTTACAGATTTCACTTTTTTTGAGGCAAATAAGCTGGATGTTTTAGGCCACATATGTAATAGCAACTTCCGTAAAGATGTGTCGTGTAAACAAAGCAGGGTAAGTTTATAACCAGAGACGCCTACAGGAAGGCAATTGAGTAGCTTTGATCTTTCAACATCACATTTAGCAAGTTCCCTTATTTAGTGTGCACCTATTGAGGCGAGAGGATGTAAATTTTCAAAGAGTACCATTTTCTTACATTCTACTAAAGATAAAACATCAGCACCACAAATATCCAAATAACCAAGCAGAATTCTGCTGCTCTGCCACTGTAAACTCTACAGAAGATCAGTGGAGCCCCAACAGAAATGGGAAAGACCCAGATATGTCAACTTTTAGCCATTTCTCTCAGCATTTGTGTTGATTTTTATAGGGCCGGATTGCTGTCTGGTCCTTACAAATAAAATGATTTGTCAGTACACAGACTTCCAAGATCAGAAGTTTCCAGCACTGTGCCAATCAGAACTTTGCGTCACACTCTCATCCAACACTTGACCCATAGCCTTGGATGGTATGACATTTCAAGTGCTCATCCAAGTGCCTTTTAAAGTTTGTGAGGTTTCCCACTTCAACTGTTTTCCCAGACAGTGCACTCCGGAGATTTTCACTATCTTGTGTGAAGCAATTTTTTTTCCTCAAATCCACTTAAAACTTTCTGCCCTTGAGCTTAAAGTTATAGGATCATAAAATCCCTACAGTGTAGAAGCAGGCCACTCAGCCCATGAAATCCACACCAACCCTCCAAACAGCATCCCAGACTGAACCCCTACACTATCCCTGTAACCTTGCATGCGCCATAGCTAATCCACCTGACCTACATATCTCTCAACACGATGGGCAAATTAGCATGGCAATCCATTTAACCTACATATCTTAGGACTGTGGAAGGAAACCCATGTAGGCAAGTGTGGAATGTGCAAACTCCGCACAGACAGTCGCCCGAGGGTGAGATTGAACCCAGGTCCTTGGTGCTGCTAACCACTGAAGCCACCATGCCGCTCCCTTGTTATTGAACCTTCAACTAAGGGGAGCAGCTACTTTCTATCCACCCTGTCCATGCCCCTCCTAATCTTATACACCGCGATCATGCTCCCCCCTCAACCTTCTCAGCTCGAAAGAAAACAATCCAAGCTGATTCAGCTTCTCTTCACACCTGAAATTTACCATCCCAGGCAAACTCCTAGTGAATTTCCTGTGCATCTTGTCCAGTACGAGCACATCCTTGCTATAGTGTGGTGACCGGAACTGCACACAGTACTCCAGCTGTGGCCTAAGCAAAGGTTTGTACTAGTCCAACATAACCTCCTTGCTCTTATAATCTATGTCATAACTGATAAAGGCAAGTGTCTAATATATCTTCTTAAACCACCCTATCAACCTATCCTACCACCTCCAAGGATCTATGGACAAACAGCCCGAAATCCCTCCATTCCTCTAAGCTTGCTCATGTTCTGATATTCATTGAGTACCCCTTTCATAGTATCATAAGAAAAAAACCAGTAAAAGCTATAGATGATACCTACAGGTCTGACTCATTCTATATACTTCAAAATGGAGCTCGAGTATTTCCTAGTATGTTTCTTTCTATGTGTTACGGTTTTTTTTAAAGTTTTTTTTGTCCTGGTTTAAATGTTGCTGTGGTAGATTACTCCGTTATCGGAGGGCAGGGCCATGACATTTTCTGTGCAAAACGTTTATTGCGTTTTTATCTTCATTTTTAGCCATGTGAAGAAATATCCAATTTCTTACCCTGTTTTGGGAGCAACACTTTTCTCATGTATTTGAAAATGTGTCAGGCAGACTCTTGCAGCTGTAAAGAATCTAGGTGCGCATGTGCGACTCTTGCAGAGGTTGTGCGGCAATGTAACAAAGAATTTCTTGCATCCATCGAGGATTTGCAGATAACATCCAGATGCAGTAAGTAATCAAGCCAATAAATCACGCTAATAAGGATGCATGTCATGAAATTCGAGCCAATCATTAAACTGCCATCAATTAATGAAACTTCTAAAGCGAGCGAGATAATTTGTATCTGCTTTTCATCACATTAGTATCATCAAATGATCAAAATGGAAAAAAAAACAAGAAATGCTTTTCTATTTCAGGAGAGCCCAAGTGTCCTGCGGGTCAGATTTATAAGCAATGTGGTACAACATGTGTTCCAACCTGCACCAGTCCAAAACCTCAGCTCCAGTGTAATCAGTGTGTGAATACCTGCCAGTGTCCAGAGGGTAATCATAATCATTCATCGAAAACTAATTTTGTCTTTTATTTCGATCCAAAGATTATTTTTAACATAAAACGTTATGGAAATGTTCTACTATAGCTTTTAAACTATCATGTCTTTTTCAAAAACACGTTTAATTTAGCTGTCATGCCATCATACCATTTCGAAATAACACAATTTTTGAATGGGTTAAGATTTAGTGAAGGTCTGACAGGAGCAGAATATGGAAATTCCCTAGAGTAGAGGGGTCTGGAAAGAACTTTTATTAGAAATCAGAAAGAACCTCTCACCCTAATTAATTGAGGAAGTTCTGAGGAAGGATCACCGGACCCGAAACGTTAACTCTGTTTTCTCCTTCACAGATGCTGCCAGACCAGCTGAGCTTTTCCAGCAACTTTGTTTTTGTTCCTGATTTACAGCATCCACAGTTCTTTTGGTTTTTACTGTAATTAAATGGATCTGTTCCATATTATCTCAACTAGTTTTTCAACCAGGGAGGGGGAGGGGGAGGGTGAGTGATCTTGTGGCACAGTGGTAGTGACCCTAATCCTGGACTGGGAGACCTGGCTTCGAACCCTACCTGCCCCAGAGGTGTTTAATAACATCTCCAAACAGGTTGATTAGAAAAATAGGTCAACTAAACAAAATTCAATGCCATGGGGCTCATGTGGTGCAGTGGTAATATACATATCTCTGAGCCAGGAGGTCTGGGTTCAACTCCTACCTGCTCCAGAGCTGTGTAACAACATCCCTGGCACAGGTCGACGTCCCATCTGCTTCAGAGACATGTCAATATATCTCTGAACAGGTTGATTAGGAAAATAATTCAAAATGCCAACTTTCTTTGAGGTCAAAGGAAACATTTTCAGGAGAGGACATGATCATGGAGTTCTCCAGGACTGATTTCTCCTAACCCATTGATTCATTCTAGACTTGTTATATTTGTGAAGATCATACATTGAGGTGGGGCATTTTTAACTTCAGATTGATTTGTATGTTCTGTGGGCTCCAAGCCAGGGAAGTATCTGTGTAGAGGTCAACCTGGTTGACCTCATTATAACCACCACATCCCTCCCCCTCTGAGTCCGAGGACAAAGGCCAGTTCTTTATAAGCAGACAAAGTAGGGGTTTGTGGTCCGCAATTATTACAAATTTTCACCCATAAAGGTACTAGTGGAACTTCCTGACTCCAAATACAACCGCCAATCCTTCTCTCTGCATCTGGGTGTTTTTACACCTTGCATTAACCACAGTCCTCAATTCATACACTATGGAATGTTCGTCTCCATTGGGCCACCTATGAGCTAATTCCAGCCGATGCCATACGGGGTGGCATCATGTATCACAGCAGATCTTTCTGCAATATCCTGGCCAGCAAGCAATTGTAGTTGCTGCCAGTATGTGGACTCGACACAGCTAAAGAATCCTAGTAGACCTAAGTTGAGTAAGGTAACTTATATGCTGGTATCCAGGAGACTGCATACCCTGGAAAGTCCACCTACGTGTGGTTTGGAATAGTTAAATTGGTTAGCAACATCCAAATCAGAACCAGTGAAAATAAATGCCTGGTTGCACGGTCATTGAGTGCTAATGGACATTTAGACCGGCTCAGTTATATAAATGACTGCAGAACGAGTTTTTAACAAAATTCTTTCTGGACTCCAGTCCTTACGTCTATGTAAGATCTCGGCTAGTCAGAGAACCTCTACTGGGGAACCTTTACAGATCCTGTGTGCAACTTTGGTTCCAGTCTCTTATGAAAAACAACTGGTTCAGTTACTAGTGATTGGAGTAAAATGCTCAGGCCCAAGCTTGATGGGGTGCAATTGATTGAGAAAGATTCCCCTAGATTGGCTCAATAATTTTCAATTAGAAAATGGCTGCCTGAGTGAAGTCCTAATTAAGTACCCAGAAGTTTTCTAGGAAGGTCTAGGGACTATCAAAAGAGCCAAGGCCACCCTGCATTTGAGCAGGAATCAACCCCACAATTCTGCAAGGCCTGCCCAGTGCCATTTAAGTAGAGATAGAAAATCAGAAGACTAGAAAGTGAAGGAATCATTAAACATGTCCAATTTGCAGAACGGGCAGCATCGGTAATAGCGATTTTGAAGCCTAATGGGTCGGTTCACATTTGTGTGGGTTTTAAACAAATTGTAAACCACTTTTCGCAGCTAGATAAATAACCAGTCCCTCTGATATGCAAAGCTAGCAAGGGGTCTCTCCTTCATGAAGCAGACAATAGCCACATTTCCTTCCAATTGCGTGTAGATGAGAATTCTAAGAAGTACACCACATTTAATACCCATAAATATTTGTACCAATATACGTGCCTGCCATTTGGTATCATGGTATCATCAGCCTGTTCAATTTTTCAGCGGACAGTGGAGAACATTTTGCAAGGTGTATCCCAAGTCACCATTTATCTATTTTGACGTTCTAATAACAGGGATGACCAATAAGGACCCCTTAGAGAACTTGGCTATAGTCCTAAAGCATTTCTCCAAGGTGGGTGTATGCCTTAGAAGGAAAACAATGCATGGTTCAAGCGTGCTAAGTGACCTACTTGGGCTATACAGGTGACAAGACTGGGTTACACCCATTGGAAGGTAAAGTGAGGATGAGCAAAGGAAGCCCCAGCTCCCACGTCTTTCTAGGAGCTTAGGTTATTTCTTGGGCTGGTAAATTGTAATGGAAAGTTCATACATAACCCGGCCTCCATCCTGGCACTTTTGCATCAACTCCTAAAAAAGTGCCAGCCTTGAAAATTGTCACGTAAACAAGCCCTAGTTTTCAGTGAAGTAAAGAAACAGCTATCATCCTCCAAAGTGTTGGCACACCGTGATCCCAAGAAATATCTGGTCATAGAGTCATAGAGTTATACAGCATGGAAACAGACCCTTCGGTCCAACTCAACCATGCTTACCAGACATCCTAAATTAACCTAGTCCCATTTTCCAGCATTTGGTCCATTTCCCTCTAAACCGTTCCTATTCCCATCCAGGTGTGTTTTAAATATTGTAATTGCACCCATCTCCACCACTTTTTCTGGCAGCTCCTTCCAGAATATGCACTACCCTCTGCATGAGAAAAGTTTCCCCTTAGGTCCTTTCTAAATCTTTCCCCTCTCACCTTAAACCTATGCCCTCTAGTTTTGGACTCCTCCACACCAGGGAAAAACCTTGGCTATTCACCTTAATCTTGCTCCCAACGCTCCACCAGCCTATTCAGTCTCTCCCTATAGCTCAAACCCTTCAACCCAGGCAACATCCTTGTAAATCTTTTCTGAACCCTTTCAAGTTTCATAACATCCTTCTTATAGCAGGGAGACCAGAATTAAATACAGTATTCTGAAAGTGGCCTAATTAATGTTCTGTACAGCTGCAACGTGACCTCCCAACTCCTATACACAACGCAATAAAGGCAAGCATACTAAACCGCTTCTTCACCACCCTGTCTACTTGCAACTCCACTTTCAAGGAACTATAAACCTGCATTCCAAGATATTAACATGCGATGCCTTCCCATATGGCATCGGAGTAGTTTTAACTTATAGTGGTCGAATGGAGAGGAACACCCCATAACGTATGCATTCAGAACTTTGGCTAATGCAGAGTGTAAATACACCCAGATAGAGAAAGAAGGGTTAGCAGTCATATTTGAAGTCAGGAAATTCCACCGATACCTTCATGGACAAAAATTTGTGATAATTTTTTTTATTCATTAATGGGATGAGGGGCATCGCTGGCTAGGCAGCATTTATTGCCCATCCCTAATTGCCCAGATGGCAGTTCAGAGTTAACCACGTTGCTGTGGGTCCAGAGTCACATGTAGGCCAGACCAGGTAAGGATGGTAGTTTCCCTCCCTAAAGGACATTAGTGAACCAGATGGGTTTTCCCCGACAATTGACAATGGATTCATGGTAACACTAGATACTTAATTCAAATTCTACCATCTGTCCTGGCGGGATTCAAACCTGGGTCTCCAGAACATTATCTGGGTTCTCTGGGTCAACAATCCAGTGATAATACCACTAGGCCATCGCCTCCATCATGGACTACAAACCTCTACTTGGTCTGCTTTAAAAGGACCACCTATTCCCTTGGACTGAGAGGGGGATGGATGTGGTGATTGTAACAAGGCCACCCAGCTGGACCTCATTGAATATGAGTTCCCTGATTGGGGTTGTTAATATGGTCCAATCAGGAAATTCTGGCTGACAGATAAAAAGGGGAGTGTTAGACATTATGGTACTCTGACAGCTGGCTGTGAATGAGGCAGTACTAGACTCATGGACCCTTTATGCATAAATAAAGGGTCACTTGGTGACAATATACTGGCCTCTGTGGAGTTATTTCACTTGGATCCCAAAGAAAAGAATTTTTTTTTAAAGACCTCCTTACGCACAGTGTTAAAGTTGTGTGATGGCTGCTGAAGGTTTCCTCATTTTGGATAAGTGATGGACAATCCTCCACAATGCTTTGAGGGAGCTCTCGAAGCTTTTTAAGTGCATTTCCATTGACCCTGCAAATTCAAACAGCATGTACAATACTAGTGGGAATTGCTGAGCAATAACCTATATTGCTAGGGATTTTTACCGCATAGGGATACCTTTGAACCTTTGATAATTACCTTTATCTTTAATCTTTGTAATTGCTACATCGTGGAAGTGTGACAAAAGAATTATTTTTCCCCTGAAGGGTATGAGAAAAGAATCAGTGGCTGAATCCATTTTTTAATTATGCTGCTCTCCTGTACAAATCAACATTGAATACATGACAAGGAACCAAAACTTTCTGCTTCTACAGTTGATCATGAACAAATGACACAAACAAATAATTTTAGAAATAGTGATGTGTGAAAATTTCTTATTTTCCTGATTGACCCAGCAGTGAAGCAAAACAAGTTGTAGTAAAATAAATAAACACAGGATTTTGGAGAAACTCAGCAGGTCTGACAATATCTGGGGAGAGAGAATCAGACTTAATATTTCGAGTGCAGTATGGCTGTTTTTCAGAATGCTGTCAGACCTGCTGGGTTTCTCCAGGGTTTTCTGAGATTGTTACAGATTTCCAGCATCATCGCTACTTTGCTTTGGTTGCAGTGAAAGAATGTTAGAACAGAAATATCATCAAAAAATGATTTTATTGGAGAGAAATCAGAGTTAACGTTTCGAGTCCAATGACCCCTCAGAACTGAGGTGTTCTGAGGAAGGGCCACTGGACCCGAAACGTTAACTCTGATTTCTCTCCATAAATGCTGCCAATCCTGCTGAACATTTCCAGCAAATTCTAATTTTGTTTCTGATTAACAGCATCTAGAGTTCTTTCCGTTTTTATTAATGGTTTTATTGGATTAGTTACCGCATGAAATCTATTTTTAGTTTTATATATGAATACAGAAACGTACTTATAAATGTGTTTTAAATGCATTTCAGGCACTGTTCTTGATAACATAAGGAAAACAAACAGCTGTATCCAGAAAGTGGATTGTCCTTGTGAATATGATGGGTGGATTTATGAGTCAGGAGAGGAAAGGACAGCTTTTTGTCAGTCATGGTAAGCTTTGCATTGTAGGTCTGATCTGTAGTCATTAACAACATTCAAATATTTTAGAACAAAATCTCAATTATGTCACTTTTTCTTTTCATTTTAGCACTTGTGAATCTGGAGCATGGTCATGTGTCCACCTGAATTGCGTTGGAAGATGCAAAATTGAAGCAGCAACATTCATCACAACATTTGACAATAATAATTATCACATGATTGGAGATTGCTCGTATTATGCTGTTTATGTATGTTCCCTCTGTTTATAGCTCATTAAAACCATTTTTTAAAAGCAAATATATAATTGATGGTGTAAGCACAATTGTATCCATCTGAATTATTTCTGATTTCTCCATTTCTCAATGTTCTTCCTACAGACAGAGAACTGGGACATCAGGGTAGAGATCCATGAATGTCAGCTAGCATTTAAACAGACATGTTTGCACCGTGTTACCCTAACTAAAAATCAGGTGAGAATTTGTATAGCAGTTCATTATGTATACTTCAGTTCTGTCACTAAAATGATACATATCAAGTTTGCTTTCTTTTATAGAACTCCTTTGTTTTCAACAATGAAGGCAATGTTTATTTTGATGGAAATCTGGCAGCAATTCCTCTGAGAACAGGTAAAGAATGTTTTGTTCCATCCAAGTGCATTATAGATATTTACAGCAGAGAATGCGTTTATTTAGCCATTATGCCTGTGCCCAGCTGAAAAATAACCACATCCAGCTTTTGGTCTATAGTCGTGTAGGTTGCAGCACTTATCCAAGTAGTGTTTAAATATGATGAAGATTTCTGCATTTATCACCCTCTCAGCATGCCATGACTCATTCACGCTTCTGTAATTCTAATGGTTAGTGAGAGTGTAAATTGTGTCAGGTTTGATCCAACACCTCTCCAGTATTTCTTAGCATTTCAGTACAGTAAAGGCTATTTAATAAAATGATCAAATGTGAGTGAAGAAATATGTTTTCTCTAAACTAGGTGGAATAATGATATTTCGGCAATCCTCAATGTTCATTCAAGTCGCAACAACATTTGGCCTGAAAATGCAAGTGCAGATATTTCCTGTTATGCAGCTTTACATCTCACTGTCTGAGGATTTAAAAAACAGCACAAAAGGTATGTCTAAGTTGAAATATTCATTTAAATGCATATGTAATATAGCTACAGGATTACACTCAAACTACATCTTCCAGTGGAAGTGCTTCAGTAATAGTCCTGGCTTCACCAACTGGGAATGGGATCCACTAGAGCAGATTCTATAATATTGCAGGCAGTGGACAGAGCACACTTAAAAGTAATTGACATTCATTCTCCCCCCTATCCACTAGCACATTTCTTGTCAGTGGAGAGTATCTGTTTGGACCAGTAATGACAACCCATGTTACAACTTTGTAAGGACAGGTTGAATAATGAATAACTGCAAAGCTGGCTGTCAGTGGATTTGGCCTAAATCTGAAAGTGTCACCGGTTTTTGGCAAACGCACACATCCCTTTCAGAAAAGGGGTAAGAATTGAGCACAAAGAATGACATGTACACTTTTGAGGAAGAAGGCGAGTGGAATGCAGTCTTTGTACATGAGCTAACTAACATGGACAAAATGGTGGTCATCAGCAAAAGCTCTAAGCAGGAACTGCATTTTGAGCTAGATGACAAATTCTTTGTGCACATATAAAAGGTAAATATTAAAGCATGATATTAGTGATCGTCTAATATCCATCTCACTTAAGGAAATCTGTCCTTCCATTGTAGAAAAGGAAGAGACTACAATCTCAGACAAGGCACAGATCTGGATCAGTTATAAAATATTCTGTAAATTTACCAGTGTACAGAAATTCAGCATGGTGGGAGTTGTCTACACTGCAGAGATTTTTTTTTAAACAAATTCGTCACAGGATTCCATGCAATAATAATCAGGCATCAAAGATCTGCCTTTACGGCCAAACCTGTACGGATTTAAACAAGAGGACTTAAAGTGGCATCATGGCTGTTAGCATTCTGTCCACACTTTGCAGCATTCATTGTTTCCTCATAGGTTGCAACCTCAAATTCTTTCCTTTGAATCAAATGGGGGATCAGAAACCACACTTTGGAATACCCTGGTAATCCTTGGCCCATTATGAGAGATCCCTGAGTACATTTGTACAAGTTGGCTATTTAGTACAACCAGTACACTTGTAGTATTTTGTACAAGTGAACCCTGTGCCACACATGCATGTTTGTCTCATGTATCATACCTAGAAAATAGGATTAAAATCAGAGTAGAACAGATAATATATTTAATAATGCTACACTAACTTTCAGCTCCGATATAATGGTTCTGGTATAAATTGCATCATTTTGAATAAAAATTCTTACAACTGTTTTCATAATCGGTAAAGTTATGTTAAAACTTGAGGTACATAATTGCAAGAGAGATCACTGTGAATAAATTTATGTAAATCATCCTAACTTTGCTTGAAATGCTATGGGCATCATTAACTCAGAAACTGAATAATTTATTTACACGCCTTAACAAAATGTACTATTAGACCATCCTCTAACCAGCAAAAAGTTATACCTGAAGCACTTGCTCTCTTCTAATGACCTTTGTTGATTTTTTTTGTTCATCAGGTTTATGTGGCGACTTCAATGATGATGCAGGGGATGACTTTCTATCTCAACAGGGGATTGTGGAGACTACATCAATTACTTTTGTTAATTCCTGGAAGACTGAAGATAGTTGCTCAGATGCAATACTACCTCCTTCTTGTTTCAGTTCCCAAAATGGTAGGTTTTTTTCTTTCAGAAAATGCTTTGTCTTCCCATTCATAAGATCATAATTTTGATTACAATTAATTTGCATAGATATGCGCTCTGAAAACATAAAGACATTACAGTATCAGTTAGTTTGATCAGTTAAGACATTCAAACCAGATAATGGAAATCAAAGTGTAAGTTTTATTCAGCATGAATCAATGTTTCCAACTGGTTTTTAAATAATTTCAGCTCAAACTGACCCAGCCTGACTGAAGCATTGATAAATATTTCAAATTTAAAAACTTGAATTAAATGAAAACTTTAAGTTTAAAATACTAAGCTTTTGGTTTTATGGCATCTTGGCAATGTTTAACAATCGAATTGCTTATGTAAGCACTTGGATTAAATTTCCCCATCAATTCCTCATTTGCTTGACAATCAATTAATATTTTACTCAATGTTTTTGGAAAGATTTCATCCAACTTACCGAGACAATATGAGTCCTGTTTTACTTTTTTTTAGATTGTGTCAGTTTTCTTCATGTTAGACTACCCCAGTTTATGTAAAGTCCCTGAATTTCTGCACACCCAATACCACTCTTATAAACTAGATCAGCAAGGAGTATGGAAGACGAGTGGAAAACTAGTTAACTACCAAATACACCAGTTCTCAGTGAAGACTAGGAATTCCTCAGGGGAATGAAGCTCCCTTATTAGGTTCTCCTTCAACACCAGCCTCTTTGCAATTGTGTGACCTGAATACAGGTCTGCACAATGGGACATGATTAAGCTTCATGGAATTTGTCCTGCAATGACACCAGCACCTCTCATGAGAAATTTCAGTTCTACTTGGGCATGATGCTAAAAAAAAGGTCCCCTCCCTGGAACCTCAGCAAATGGTTTTCTGGTATGGTTTTTCCTGACTCGCTGTCCCTGTGGCAATAGTGATATTGGTACTCACCACTTCTACTTCAACGAGATGACTCTGATACATCCCAGTTGCTTGCCCCACCAAACACATCCACAAGTGCAGTAAGCCCATTGACTGTCAAGACTCAAGAATTCATTAATTGCCGAAAAGCAACTTGCCAACATTGGCCTACAAATTTCTAACCCTTTTCTTTAGCGTATGTTACTGCTTCACATGCAAAATCTTAAAGGAAATGATATTAATTCCATTGTTGTTGTTGAGAAAATTCTATACTGCATATGAACATTTATGGCCACTTTACAGAAATACCTTTTAAATCGAATGCTTTGTTTTCTTACAATAAATGTTATTTTTAAAAAACAATTTATTTCAGAAAATTATGCAAAAGATTACTGCTACCTTATAAAAGATCCGAAAGGTCCTTTCTCTGTGTGCCACTCTGCAGTCAGTTATGAACCACATTATGCAGTAAGTAATCATTGGGAGTCAAAAGGTTACAAATCAAAATGTTTCACTTTTAATATAAAGTAGAAGTTGTCAAAAAATGAACAGAAAGATCCCATAATCAATGCACGTTTTGCATAGAGTTAACCTGATTTTAAACAGGGTGATATTTCTTTTACTATTAGGTGAGGAGGAGTCAACTGGCTACCCTCATTCACTTTCCTTCTTTGACTGCCAAAGGCTTGATTTTTGTTTTGAAAAGGCTATGCTTGCCAATTCAGTGAGTGTTGAAATGTGCACAAACTATTATTATGAAAGATACAGACAGGTTCTTTTTGAATTTTAACATAGAAAAGAGGCTAATTTATTGTTCTTAATTTTGTCTAAGTAATAGCACACACTGTCCCTCTGACTTTATGCCTCATATAAACACACACAATTTGGTGGTCCTGATGCTTTCCCTCAGCAATGTAATGATGTAAGCAGTTGACTTTTTTTAATTTTTCTGCAGATAATGTTGTGAGTTGTGTTCCTCCAAGAAGTCTTTGTCTGCAGGGTGTCTATGGTTATAATCAGAAAACAGGGTTTCAAAGCTTGCAAGTTGGGTAGGAGAGAGAGAGAGAGAGAAAGAGCAAAGCAACCCTTTCGGGTCTTGTTTCTTCAGTTGTTTGTCCTGTACTGCAGATAAAGCAGATGTTTAGGCACACAAAAGGATAGCTTTGTCACATCAGTATTGCCCAGTGATTCAAACATGGGAGTAGCTGGTATATTTTAGATCATGTCTGAGAAACACACTCCCACACCCCACCAAAAAAATGGTCCTGTTGTTCAAGTGATTAGGTTTAATGGTTTATGTCTGCCCAGTTGAATACCCCAGGCAATTGTGCTAGAAGAGGGATGTGAAATTTACTCATTCTCCTGAGATCATTGTCTTTGACTTTGATGGTTTTTCACAAATATGCTGGATTGCAAGTAAGGCATAGTAATGCAAATCATGTAGCCATATGTGGATATGAGTTGGAGGTACACTAAAGTATCTGTTTTAAATGTTCAATATGGATTCTAGCTGATGGATTAAGAATCGTAATTTTGTATAATATATGGTTCCATTGAACAATGGCTAATGAGATTTTCCCAGTATCCCCAATTTAAGGAGAGGAAATTTAACCATGTTTGGTTCTGTGGATTGTATAAGATTGTATTAAATGACTCTACATAGTGGAGATGAGTTTAATGTGTTAGATATATTGTCAAACTTCATTTTATCTTGCGACAAAATATTACTGCTTTAGCTTTCACATTTTTATTTACTTAGATGTGTGTAGCTGCCACCTGTGCCTGTGAGAACGTCAACGACTGTCTGTGTGCAGGATTGGGAGCGTATGTTCATGAGTGTGCAGCTCATGGTGTCATCGTCAGCAACTGGAGGAAAGATATCTGCAGTACGTTGTAATGTTGTTCATCTTTTAGGAGAACAGAATCGGAGTTAAAGGAGCAGACATTCTTTGGGCTTACTCATTTGGTTACCTATCCTTAAGAAGGATCTAGGTTTATGAAAGGGTAGCCAATTTTAAATAAAGCAGCATGAAGTCAGACTGAGTGCAGTTTAGACATTCACCCGGAAGGAGGGGGCAGGCGTCATGTAAGGTAAAACTCCCGACAGCCACTAGAGGCAGAAGTCAATTCAAATTCAAAAGGCTGCTGCAATCTGAGAGACTTTTCTGTTGCCTCCAGTCATGTAAGTTTTCCCAAGGCCAGTGAGCTCTCCACATTTCCTGTAGTCCCCCTTTTGCAACCTCCCTCCTCCCTTTGGTCTGGTCACCAGGCACCAGTCTAAATCACTGGGAGCTCAGGAGATGGGAATTGCTCCAACTCCAATGGGTGGTATTCCACCATCCTAATCACTTCTTGAATATTCAGCCCTCCTTTGGGTAGTTGTTATGACCATCTGTTTCCTTACACACAAACCGCACTCCTCAGTGCACTGGATTACTGACCATTAGTTATCCCTCAGTCAAGATCACTAAGGTAGAGGAACTATTCATTTGAATTACTGTTGTTGGTGAGAATTAGCACTGTACAAATTAATAATCAATAATGATTAGATTACAGAAGTCATTCATTGACTGTAAAGTGCAATAGGGCATCTGGATGTCATAATATGTTCTTCATAATTACAAGTTCTTTTCCTCTTTCTGGAAAGCTGAGTGTCAGGCATCATAAAATATTTCATGGTCAATGTGTCAATATATCTTTGAGAGACATTTCATATCATCACTGTATCATAACAAATCATAATGTAACTGATGATATAAAGAACTTAGACCCCACTCTGAAGTATGACAGGTGACCAGAAGAATGTTCCTCAGTAGTAATCTAATAGCTTAATGTTAGCCTGATACTGATGTGCCTGTGAATGTAATATTTGTATATACTAGTAAGCTTGATATTAGATTCTTCAATGCCATGTTATCCAAATCTCATTTTTTACATTATGAGGAATAACATAAGCAGTTTTGCTCGGTAAAACAACCTGCTAGAGGCAAAACCCACATGACTAGACCTGGTCAGTCTCTTAAAATTGATCCCTAAATTCTAAACAAGAATGAAGGCAAATCTAAAGCAAATTCTCATGTGAGTGAAGTCACAACAGCAGCTTGCTCTTATACCTCTTTATATGGAAATAAGCGCCTGGAAAATAATGTGTTCTGGCTCAAAAACCATGCAATTTCTCATTTTCTATTCAATTGGTTAAATTTGTTCAAGGAATTCAGTGTGCATTCAACAATGTAGGTCGAGCTCAAAGATTTGGAAATAAACTGTTATCAATTTTTAAAATCTTCAACAGATGAATAAATATAACAACTTTAAGTACAGTAATCTAGTTATGTTCTGTGCGTCAAAGAAAAAGTGTTAAGGTCATGAATCCTTACTTCTTTATCACAAGTGTTCACCCATTGTAGATGTATACTCTACGACTCTAAATTAGCCAAAATGAGTACATAAGCCATACATTGTGCATGCTCATCAAAATAGATTTTCAAAAAATGTGTTCATGGGATATGCGCATCACTGGGAAAGCCAACATGTATTGTCCATCCCTAATTGCCCCCTGAGATAGTGGGGGCACTATCTTTCTTGAACAAACTAAATTTGTTAGGCCATTTCAGACACAGTTAGAAGCCAACTACATTCATGCAGATCAGAAGCCATGTATAGGTTAAGATAATTAAGGATGACAGATTTCCTTCGGTAAAAGACATGAGTGAACTAGAGATAACAAGGATCAGGAAAGCTGACGTTTCAGGTCTGGACCCTTCTGCTCCTCTGATGCTGCCTGGCCTGCTGTGTTCATCCAGCTCTACACCTTGTTATCTCAGATTCTCCAGCATTAGCAGTTCCTACTATCTCTGAGTGAACTAGATGTGTTTTTAACACTATCCAGTAGTTTGATGGTCCTTTGGTGCTGATGCTAGCTTTTAAGTCCAGATTTAATTGAAACAAGTGATAACATGCATGCCTGCGAGCAAACCAGCAAGGCAAAATTTAAAGATACTAGCTGATCAAATCTGGGATCAGTTGGCACATTATTTTCTTGTCATAAACTTACAGGAGTTAAAGGTATGTCTGGGGAAAGAAAAAAACACAATTCTTGATGGGGTTTAATTTAAAGCTAAATGGATTTATGGGAGGTGATAAATTTTAGTATTGTGTGGTTTCAACACTTATTTCAATGTATTCTATTATTTATCTATTCTCATGCTATTTCGGACCATTTAAGGCAATATATATTTATTGAGGCTTAAGAGTATCACACGTTTTATTATAATCTAAGGTATTTCTCTATTTTGTTATAATTTGTGATGCTTCTCCATCCAGGTAAGCCATGTCCCGACACTCAGGTCTTTGAGAATGACATGAGGACTTGTAACCGCACCTGTCGATCATTATCCCGTTATGATTATACCTGTGATGTTGAGGACATACCAGTTTTTGGCTGTGGCTGTCCTGAGGGGAAATACATGGATAACTCTGGAGAATGTATTGATAAATCAGCGTGTTCTTGTTATATGGGTGATACAGTTATCAAAAAAGGACAAAGCATGACTCTCAATGGTCAAACTTGGTAAGTATCTTCACTGTATCCTGCAATCCTGTCATTTCCAGATGTGAATGCTGGTCAACAATGAAACAACTAAAAGGAATCTGTGCAAATATCCCCATGCCCTCAATAAAGGGGAAATTCAATCAATTTGATTCAGTCCATGTGATAATGGTTGAATGCACTGAATGCTGCAAAGTCTTTGGGCCCTGATAATATTCTGGCTATAATACTGAAGATTTGTGCTCCAGAACTCACTGCAACTCTTGCCAAACTGTTCCAGTATAACTACAATACAGGCACCTGTATGGCAATTTTGAAAAATGCCCAGACTGATCGTGTGTACAATAAAAGTTCCTCAGGGTAATATCCGTGGCTAAATTATGTTCAGCTACTTCAGCGATGACCTTCCCTCCATGATAAGGTCAAAAGTGGGGATGTTTCCTAATGACTCCACAAATTTCAGCACTATTTGTCCCTCTTCAGTGACTAAAGCAGTTTGTGTCCATATGCAGCCAAACCTGGACCATCCAGGCTTCAGCTGATATGTGGCAAGTAGCGTTTGTACCACAAAAGTGCCAGGCAATGACCATCTCCAACAAACAAGAGTCTAACCATCTCCCCTTGAAATTCAATGACATTATCATCACTGAATCACCCGCAATCAACAGCCTGGAGGTTACTGTTGACTAAAAACAGAAATGAATAAACCATCTAAGTACTATAGCTACAAGAGAAGATCAGAGGTGAAAAACTGTGTGGTGGGTTATGGATCTGAATGGTTTGAGAAAGCAGCCTGCCACACCTTTCTCCAGGCCTACTTGGGTTGGAGAATCAGTGCTGACCATGAATTAATATGTTTTTTTTTTAAACGATGAATAAAATAAATAAAATGTGTCTAAAAATATAACTTTGTTATGCCATTCAGCTTTTGTGAAAATGGCAAGATTCAGTGTTCGACGGTTCCCACAACCACCAGTCCAGGTGAGGAATTGTTTTTATATTTCCAGTGTCATCAATATGAATGGACATTAACTTTGAATTAAACTGGATGTTCATTTTTAAACAAAGATTTGGATTTTTTTCTTTTCTAGTATGCCTGGGTGGCAGAGTATATTTTGACTGCGGAAACGTGGATAAGTTGTGTGCAAAGACATGTAGAGGCTATAATAAGCAATGTGTAAGTACCATTAATCTATTCAACATCTTTCACACTTTCTTGCAATTTTCTATGTGTAGTTACACCAAACTGCTAATATTAAACACAATAAATTACTTAAATATCTCTCACTGCTCCATGTTTTCTTTCACCATGAATTCAAATGCAATATTAATTACTATCTGGCCCATTGATGCTCTCAAAGTAATGGAATGTGTGCAATATATAAGTTGTGAAGGAAGCTGTTCTACAAATCCTATAATAATGAATCTCTGACTGAGGATTGCTATCTAAAACCAAAGACTTCAGTATTTTGCAAATCTACATTGCTTCCTTCTATGCAAATTTAACATGAAGTTGAAAGGAGTAGTGATAATACTATGGCTTTAAGAGGTGTATTTTGTCCAGATCTTTTTTGTGAAGAAAGGTTGAGACAGAGGGACCAAGCAATCTGCTCCAAAGCCAATTGAGTAAACAGCTTGTGAGACCTTGTTTTTTTTTAAGTTAGAACAATAGAAGCAGCCTGAATGGGTGAGGTCAAGCTCCCACAGAACCAGGATTTTTAGCTTCAGCCTTCAGTACCAGTTGCTGGGTCTTGAAGCTGGATGTGGAAGCTCTTATTCCTCTCTCTGTTACAGCTAAAAGCTGAGGTTCTCTTCCTGCCACCAGAGTTGCATGTGAGACAATATATTTTCCTGAATTGCATTTGCCAAGGGTATTTTTATGGGATGTTACAATATTAGAACAGTTCATTAATATTAGTTAATATATCTATTATTTTGTTATACATCTTGATAAAGTTACAGTTAAGCCAGTTCTTTTCTTTCATTTTTGTTTTGTCTGTATTTTAATTACAGTGTATGAATAAAGTGTATTTTGTTTCAGGACTGGTAGTTTAACCAATCAAATTGCATCTGGAGTGCAATGCCTTACAGTTAACTTTAAAATAAGGAAAAGTTAGGGTCTAGACTATCTTCTTAATATATTTTGAGGGGTTTTGGTCCGGTTCATGACAAAATTAATTTCTTTCATTGACAGAACTTGAATAGTTACTGTGTTCCAGGCTGTGTCTGCCCTGATAATCTTGTGGCAGATGACAATGGAAGATGCATTCCTCCTGAGCAATGTACTTGTTCATTTGGAGGAGAAACCTATGCTTCAGGAAGCACCATCCGAAAGGATTGCAATAAATGGTGAGATTCAACAACTGGAAGAACATAGAACTAGCATCACTAAACAAACAAAGTGCTTTCATTTTTGCATAATATTACATGATGTTCTTAAATAGAGCTTGCAGTGCAGACACAAGACAATTATTCCAACTAGAATATGTGAGGCCATCATTTTCATTTGTAGGTTGGGAGCACAGACAGGGTCATTTTCTGACTCTGCAAACCTGACCTGGAAAATACCGGCCCAAAAGATCAGATTTTCAGTTGGGGCTTGCAGGATCCCTTGGTTGTAAATGACTGCTGAGTGCAAGGCTTGTCTCCGTGCACCAGCGTGATACTGAAGTTTAATAAAAAATTGGACACATCCCTTCAACTTTCACCCCACACACTGCATTCTCCATTCATGACAATGTATGCCACTTCATTTACATGCCCTTCGGCCATAGGCCTTCATACCCCTGCATTCACTACCCTGCCCCTTTATATCGCCAATGCTTACCTGTGCCCCTATGTACACCACCCTGGTTCTGTATGGCACATATGCCAACTTAGTTCCATCTCATGATAAAACATGATCCATCCTTCTCCCAACCCACCCTTGAAAGTTTTACAGATCCTTGACAATTTGACAATTCCATTGGGTCTATGCATTTTTGCTGTAGCACATGCTTGTCTACCTTTTAACAGTTCCAAATAGTTCCCGGCCCTCCCCTAGTCAATTCCAGCCAAGGACACATGACTCTTTCTAAGGGACCTGACCACACCGCCCCCACTTCAAACAGTCCTGGGAGCACATCCACAAGTATCTCTCAACTCCAAAGGGCTACCCTGACTCTCCAAAATAAATTTTCTGAACTAGACCTGCTTTCACCTGGTCTGCTCTGCACACTGTGGGTTCCAGACAGTCAGGTTACCAAATCCAATTTAAATAAAGGCAGCAAATCCTTTAAACTTCCAGCTACATCCGTGAACCATGCATGTGTGACCATCCCCAAATCTATCCCTGCAAAAATCAGACATGACACGTTCAGGACTGGGACTCCTGACTTTCAGGGATTTTCACCAGGACACACAGGTTCTCATCATTACGAAACTCTGGGCCTCAGCAGTTAGCTTTCTCCCATCCTACTTCATCTCATTCTATCTGTGCTACTTCTGTAAGTCATTCCATGTAAAAGAAAGTTTCAAATTCCACCACATTGTGAATAACAAAGTTTCTCCTGTATTTCCTATTGGATTGATTAGTGATTATCCAATTGCTTTTGATCCCAGATTATGACTCCCCACAAATGGAATCATCCATCCTAAATTTAAAAATCTCAATTGGACCATTCATCAGCCTTTTCACTTTTCTAGAGGAAAGAGACCTCAGCTATTCAATTTTCTCTGGTTTTAATTTCTCAGTTCTGATTTCAGCCTTGTAAGTTTTGTTTGTATATTTCTTGGTGTCAGTATCCCTGCTGTTGTTAGGCTTGCAGAATTGTTACAGTACAAAAGGAGGTCTTTCGGCCCACTGTGCCTGAATACCTCATGCTAAACCCTTGCCTTTTCCCTATATCCCTGTACACCATTTCTATCCAAATAGTCATCCAATACCCTCTTGAAGCCTCAATTGAAACTGCCTCCACCACAACTCCAGGCAGTGCATTCGATACCATACTATTTGCTGTGTGAAAAAGTTTTTTTCATTTGTTTGGTTTGTACATCACTTCACATCTATGCCCTCTTGTTCTGTTTTCTTTTTCTCCCTGTCTACTGTATCCTGCTCACTCAGGATTTTGAAAAGCTCTATCAAATCTTCCCTTAGCCTTCATTTCTCCAAGGACAAGAGTCCCAAAGTCTTCAATGTCCGTTCATAATTGAGGCCAGAACCTTGAGCAGTTCTCCAAGTGTGCCTTTTATATTGCAGCACATGCAAGGCTGGATCCTGGGAATGCACCAAAAACACTTGTCCAAAGGAATGCCTAGTTCATGGAGATGGCCACTATGTAACCTTTGATGGAAAAAGATATCTCTACGACGGCAATTGTGAATATATTTTGGTTGAGGTATGTTACAGTAGGAATGAGGTATGTAGGCCCTTATGCAGCTAAAGGCCAGATCAGACAAATGACCAGGAAACGATTTGTTCTATAAGGATTAGCATTACACTAGATGTGTACACTTCTACACTGGCCATTTGAGGCATCCTCATTTGTCCAAGGATATAAAATCTTAAAGGATTTAATTTCATTGTTTAGAACATTACATGCAATTTTAGTATCATTATTAACTGGTTTACTTTAACCATGACAGAAATATAAGGATAAAAATATAAAGACTCTTTTTTATCATTTTTTCATGGGACATGGGCAGCACCGGCAATGCAAGCATTTATTGCCTATCACCAATTACCCTTAAGACGTTGGTGGGGAGCTGTTTTTTGAACTGCTGCTACCCATTTGACACAGATACACTCAGAGAGGATTTGGAAGGGACTTCCAAACTTGTGACCCAACAACAGTGAAGGAATTGTGAAATAGTTCTAAGTTAGGATAGTGCGTGATTTGAAGGGGAATTTGCAGGTGATGGTGTTCCCATATACCTGCTGCTTTTGTCCTTTTTAGTGATAGATATTTGTGATGATTGAGTGTTGATGATGGAGAAAGTGAATATTTAAAGTAATGGGTGGAATACCAGTCACGTGGACTGCTTTTCCCTGGATGATGCTGTGTTTCTTGCGTTTTATTGGTGCTGCACTAATCCAGGCAAGTGGACAGTCATAGGGTCGTAGAGTTTTTACAGTGTGGAAAGAGGCCCTTCAGCCCATCATGTCCATGCCTCTCATCAAAGGTCCATCTATTCTAATCCTGTTATTAGCATTTGTTACCCCTCTGCAGCCAATGAGGATTTGAAAATTAACATCAGAGTCACTGCGATCTCCTTCCTTGTCTCCCACAGCAACCTTGGATGCATCTCATCTGGGCCTGGGGATTCATTCACTTTCAAGCTGGCTGAAACCATTAAGACCTCCGTCTCTCAATGTTAATTCATTTAAGTATCTGACAGTCCCTCTCCCCAATTTTGATACCTACACCATCCTTCTCCATAGTGAATTCAGATGTAAAGTAATCTTTCAAAATCTTGCTATGTCTTCTGACTCCACAATTGATGGATGGTATTCCATCACACTCTAGTCTTGTGTCTTCAATATGTTGGACTAAATTTGGGGAGTCAGGAGGTGTGTTATCCATCATAAAATTCTCAGCCTCTGACATGAATTTGTAGTCACAGGATTTATGTGACTGGTCCAGTTAATTGATTTCACAGATTGTTTTCGATGGGGACTTCAATATCACATGCTGTCAAGGAATTATTGCAGTAACCTTAAGATTTCTGTGTTTTCACTCTGTAGGTGCTGACTCCAGACTTTGCAGTCAGTTTAATATTTATAATGACACTGACACTACCAGTGTTATCACCATTACAATCACAAATTCTAGACCGTTGCTATTGTTAATTACCAGCAGTGGAGTTTAAATGTTTACAGAATCCATATTTTATGGTAAAAGTTTTGGTCATATTCTCTAACATTGGAAAGGGCATTCTTTTGAGTTTTCTACTTGAAAATTGGACCTAACAAGAATCTATTTACTCCCTGATTATGTATATACATTTTATAAAGCTTCAGGGCATCTAAACTGTATTAAATTGACAAATTCAGCTTCACATGGAGTCATTTATTTTTTATTTGCACTTAATAGCAAGTAAATCACTGTAAGTGTACATCATTGAAGAGAAGATGTTTAAGTTTGTACAAGTAGATTATATTAGTGTTTTATTTTCATTTAGTTAGGACCTTCAATGATTGTGAATGTGAAAACATTGATGATGATGTAATGTTCAACATTTTTGTATGATATAAACATCTGAATTACTGAATGAATTTAATTGTTAAATGCCGTTAGAGTACCAGCACACACATTCTCTCTCTGATTTGCTTCAGGATCAATGCAATCGAGGAAATGGCACGATTCAAATCCTGGTGGAGAGTGTCCCATGTTGTGAAAATGGAGTGACATGTTCAAGGATTATCAGAATTTTAACTGAGGTATCTGTTTTCAGTTCATGACATGATTGAAGTGTCTAGACCGTTCAGAGTCTTGTGTAAGGTGGATATTAAAAGGGGTGAGTCCAGAACAGAGGGCACTTCTTAAAAATTAGCTGCTGCCCTTTTAGAACAGAGGTGAATTTTTATTTTCTCTCAAAGGGTTATATGACTTAGGAACTCATTTGCTCAGAAGGTGGCAGAGGCAAGGTCATTGAATATTTTTATGGCAAAATTAGATAGATTCTTGTTAGGCAAGGGAAGGTTGGTAACATGGAATTTTAAAGGCAATAGATCAGTCACAATCTTATTGGACACTCAAAAGGAATTGAGGGATTGAATGGCTTACATCTGCTCCAAATTTGTATGTTCAACAATCTGCAATCATTAATGCATTCTAATTGACATTGTATGATAAATATTTGACTTTATTTCTAATGAGTTTACTGTGATTATACATATTCTAAACCATTGGGATTTCTTCAGGGTGAAGAATTCAAACTACATGATGGCCGAATGACGAGAACTGAGAAATCTTTTGGTCAAACCCAATGCAAAGATAGTTCCTATTCACTTCACACTGTTGGACTCTATTTAATTGTTAAATTTTCCAATGGGATCACCGTGATATGGGACAAACGAACAAGAGTTTCAATCACATTGGATCCAAGATGGAAGGTAAAGACACGGTTTCAAATATTAATGTTTCCTCAACTGAAATGTTTTATTAGTGTAGAAATTAATACTAAAAAGCAAAGTTTTTGAGCATTATGGACTTATTTGTTTGCAGACACAAATATGGTACGTTCCTTGTTAAGTACAATTATACTTTAGTCCATTACGATGAAAAAGATGACAGAATGTTTAACTCAGGCTGAGGCTGATTTAGAAAAAACAAGAAAACATTCTAATCAACTTGTTTCTCTTTGGAATGTGATGTAGAATTGTAATTTGCATCATCAGATGTGTTAAAGTAAAGTAAATATGCATCAAGACTTTTTATTGGTTCTAGCAACAGATGAGCGTTACAATAATGTCTTTGGACAGTTGAAGGACAAACAGTTGAATGACGAACAGTTGAACATGATATAAAGTGGTTATTTTGTCAATGTAATTTGCCTGGTGAAGCTTTAGTCCATGTAGAAATTCATTTCCATGAGCAATCCTGTTGCTGGTCAGTATGTTTGATTCAAATTACATTACAATAAATCATCATTCCTGAAGTTTAACTATCAGCCTGTGGCTGGCTGGCTGAAAGAACATGAAGGCAAGTGTTCCACCTTTGTCCTTCTGGCACAGGGCTTTGCATGCCAGGAGCTGGTGGCTGAGAATGGAAGAGAGTGCTGTAAACTGCTTTGAGGCTCGTCCTATTATTCAAGCCAGTGTTGGAACTGGCCAATTTCCTGCTGCTGCCACCATTCCCCATGTACCTGAAAGCATCAGCTGTTTGTTGGAAACCCAACATTTATTGGTGGCAAGAGGGCCCGTCTCGAAATGCCCTCAGGAATGGGTACAGGGAGCTGCTGCTCTGCAGGTTTCATTTACCTCTTGAGAGTGACTTATAAGTTGTCCCATCCTATTACATACTGCAAATTTCTCAGTGGTATAATGATACGGATTTAAACATAAGTATTATGATATATTAATGTATGAGCACACATTTGTTTCAGAACAAAGTATGCGGTCTGTGTGGAAACTTCAATGGTCATATTGCAGATGATTTAACAACTCAAGGGAACTCTTTAGTGACAAATACATTGGAGTTTGGAAACAGCTGGAAGTCCTCAATGTCGTGTTCAAATGCAATGAATCAAACGTTCCCGTGTGAAAGAAACCCCTACTGTTCAGCGTGGGCTCAAAGGAAGTGCAGCATTATCAAGGATACTGTCTTTCAAAGCTGCCATAAAAAGGTAACGTTATTATCAAGCATGATACGTGATGTAACTGGTAAGGGGAGTGAATCCTCTTTCACAATATGTGGTTAATTTCCGACTCTGTCTATAATAATCTTACCAGGTTGACCCAACTCCATTCTATGATGCCTGCGTCCAGGAGGCTTGTGCCTGTGACTTGGAAGGGAAATACCTGGGTTTCTGTACCGCTGTAGCAGTGTATGCAGAAGCTTGTAATAAAGCTGATGTGTGTATCCGCTGGAGAACCCCAGACTTGTGCCGTAAGTATTTTCATTGTTAGGAACTGATGAATGTTGTCCCACTTCTTTATTTGCATGTTTTTATGTGGTTTTGAAGGATACAGTTTAAAAAAAAACTTAGAGAGTGAAAGAAGAGATAGAATATACATTTGGTAAGGCCAATTGGTTGCTGCCTCAAATTGAGATAGATAGGAGGTGGCCATGTGATATGTACTGAGAATTGTTTGAAAGCTAATGAGTGCAAGAAAGGTAACATTGTTGGATTGATCTTAATGTTAAGGGAATGGGGTTAGTGATGTTGGTGAGTGATGATGGCTCCCGCAGAGTGGAAAGCTGATGCCTCCTGGTGGAGGGATCAAAAGCTTCAGAATGGGGGAACAGAATGGGATCCAATGGAGGAATTCAGATCTGGAGGTAATGAGGAGGACAGAGAATTCAAGAGGGTGTAGCTGCTTTATGAGGTTAAAGGTCTCTGGCCATCGAGGTTCCTCTGGGAGGCATCTGGCTCCAAGGTGCAAGTCTGAAGGCACGTACCGCCAGAAACCACTGAGGCAGGTGTCAGAACTCAGCTGTTAAAGTTCGAAATCTGTAGGACAGAGAGGCTCGCAGCCTTGTGAGGATGTTTAACATGGCCTCCTGTCTTCTTGAACAGATGGGCGAGAGGCCAGTTTTGTTTGATAAACAGATTTCTGACCCTTTAACATACCACTTATCAGACCCAAACCCAACTATCTCCTGCAGTTAGAATTTAGCCCTATTATTCAGATATGGGTGGCCATGTTTGGAAGGATACATTAAGCTTTGGCGAGTTCAATGTGATTTATCAGCATGTTACCTGGACCAAAAGTTGGTAAACTTGAATTACATTGCCCAAACATTAGGTTACTATAGGAATGATTCAACCATGGTAGTCGACATACTGAAGGGAATCAACAAGGTGGGTAAGAAATTACATTTTTTTATTAGGGAATTTGGAATGAAGGGGAAAAAAATTAAAAATGATTTGGACAGACTAAGAGTATGCAAAAAGGTTCTTTCTCTCAAGGGTTTTGAGAATATGGAATGTACTATCCCAGAAAGTTGTGGTTGTAAAATCAATTAAGGATTTTAAAGGGGAGAGAAATACTTTGTGAAGTTTCTAAAAGATGAAGATAAATAAAAAGGAACTTGAGTGATGATAGGATAGCCTTTGTTTCTATAGCCCAATGGCCTGTTTCTATGCCTTATTTATCTAATGTGATCCAATATAAACAACACCATCTGTGAATCTGTCATAAACTTACTTTAGTTGAGTAAACAGAATAAATATGACGACAAACTGACTTTTATTTTGCAGCTGTATATTGTGATTATTATAACGCTCCTGAAGAATGCAGTTGGCATTATCACCCATGTGGAACATTGACAACAAAAACATGTTCAGACCATAACGTGGGAAAGAAGTTCTCTGCAAAACTTGAAGGTTTAAACAACATTATTATCCTTTTTATCAAACTTATTGTTCATGTTCTTGTGTTTAGATACTTTACATTTATTTGTAGTTCTTGGGTTGAACATCATTATGCTATCATAGATAGTAAGAACTGCAGATGCTGGTGTCAGAGATAACACAGTGTGGAGCTGGAGGAACACAGCAGGCCAGGCAGCATCAGAGGAGCAGGAAAGCTGACGCTTCTGGTCGTGACCCTTCTGACCCGAAACGTCAACTTTCCTGCTCCTCTGATGCTGCTTGGCCTGCTGTGTTCATCCAGCTCCACACTGTGTTATCTCTTATTATGCTATCATGATTTTCATTTATATTTTAAAACTTAATTAAGATCTAAAAGGGTTTTCTGACAACTTCTATGAAACAAAACAACTTAGATTTGTTCAAAACACAATAGATTTAACAATTCAGATTTCCACTTTGAACAGTTATATTTATGTATGTAATAATTGTGAAAAAATATCACCTTTTTGTAATTGCCAGACTTAATGTGAACATGGATATACTGAAATGCAAACCATAGATAGATAGGTCCAGCAGTGACTGTGTAATTTAAAAGTTCTCAGCATTGCATATTATTTTTTGTTAATCCAGGCTGTTATGCAAAGTGTCCAGTGAGTGCTCCTTATTTGGATGAAAATTTAATGAAATGTGTTAAGTTGACTGATTGCACATGTTACCATAATGGGAAGATATTGCAACCGGGTGAAGTGATGTGGAATGTCTGTGAAGAATGGTAAAGTATCTATCAATTATTTTCTTATTTTACCAATCCATGCTCATGACAATGCAATTGGTCACACAGTTTTTCCCTAAGTTGACCACTTAGTGACTAGAAAGGATGAACATTGCTTTCTCTGTCCTGACTGCAAAGTTTTGTAGCATTATTTATGTGAATGCTATTGGTCCCCCATGTGCACAAGAAGCTGTTCATTTCAAAACTACAAAAGAGACTGAAAAGAGGCAAACAGCTGGCATGTGGTTCTGTGTCTGCTTCTTATTGCCTTGAGATATCCAGGGTTTCCACAGAGATGTGAAGAGTGTTCACTTACAAAAGTGCAGGAACTGTGTTGAATTGGGCATGAAGGGAGAGGTGCTAATGACATTTATGCCTCATTTCAGCCGAGGAATTTTGATAGGATGCCCATATAGAGTTACAACAGAAGAGGTCCTCAGAAGCACTACTCCCATCATACCAGAGGGACTGACAGAACCTGCTCATTGAGACATAGAAATCCATTCTAAGTTCTTCACAGTGTGACACTAAATCCTCAGGCCACAGCTTTCTAGCCCATGTCTTTGACAGAAACCAGAAAGCCGTGAGGTGAAGCCCAATCTGGCTGATATAGGTCTCCTGGTTTCTAAAGCAGTGACATTTCTTCTCTTGTTCTGGGTACTGAAACAAGCCAGTAGCACATTGTTACCATGCTAATAATTTGACTCCTAAATTCTAAATCGTTCACTTCAGGGCAGGTCTAGTTCAAAATGACCCAGAGAAAGAGGGTCTTCATAAAACTTTATGCATTTGAATCCAGCTTTCTTATCAAATGTCAGGGAATAATATGAACAACATCTACAAATAGCCTAATAACAGCAATTCATTTTTTTAAAGCATAAGTTCTAATAAAAATAACTTACCTTGCTTTTGTTGTAAGAATTCAAGCAAATATGTTCAATTTCTTACATTTTTAAGTTTATAAACAAACAGACAAGTACATTGCATGTTTGATTATCTACTTTACAAAGCCATTTTGATTCCATAAAGTTGTGCGAGTTTATTGAAATTGCCAGGTTTTTGGCGTGACTGTTTGCTGACAGAACTAAGTGGATAAAGGGTTGAAAAAATGAAAATCGTTTCCTTTGTTTTACAGTAAATGTGACAATGGAACTGTAACATGTAGAAGTAAGTAAATTTATTTTTGTAAAGAGCTAAAATGTGAGCTACAGTGTATCAGGCATTGCTAAGTGCTGGTATCCTAAAGAATAATTGCTTACATCATATTCAGTGCAAACCGTGGGCAAAAAATACCAGCTAAATTTCAAATCAAACTGTGCAGCTAGAAGCTTCAGATTTGTATCTGAATGCTTCATAAATGAAAGAATAATGATGCCTAAAAATGAGTAAGCGATTGGGACAGACCATGATCAGCTCCAAGCTGAAGTTGGACAAAACTACCAGCATTGACATAAGGTAACAGTCTGTAAGTGCCATATACGTCACTTTCAAAAGGGAGGAGTTATTTTAAAATTACCTCACTCTCATAGCTAGGTCCCTGCATCACAGTTTGTAAAGTGAAACATGGACTCACAGAATCATAGAGATCTACTGCACAGAAAAAGGCCCTTTGACCCATCATGTCCACACTGTTCAAAAACAGTGCAGTACCTGTTGAAATAAAAGCAGAATATGATGGAAATACTCAGTAGTTCAGTAGCATTTATGTAGAGAAACAGAGTGAACATTTCAAGTTAATAATCCTTCATCCCAACAGTATCTTTCAGTGCAGTCTGGTTCGAGCTTTCTGGTTCTGTGGCAGGTGGTTGCTCTGGGGAATGCAGGGTCATTGCAATTCATTCAATTAGGACAACGTCTCTTACTTTGCTATTTCACAACTCTCCTTACTACTGTTCTATAACAGACTGGTCATGGAGATCAGTAGGCTGTGTGGTTTGAACGTGGGGCTGGTTGGCTCCAAAGCCTTGTAGAGATGTTATTACATGAACTCCTGAAGTAGATGAAAAGGGAATGTTCAGTTAGGAGGTTAGATACCATAGGTGTCAATTTGGCCAATTTACCAAGGCAGAAGTAGTTGGCAACTCAGCCAAATCTACAAACAGATTTGAGAATGTCACAAACTCAACCGAAATAGTTCAGCATTCAAGTTCGAGTGCAATAGTTTCGATTTTAGCTTGCAGTTCAGAAGGGATCACTACATCAGTGAAAACAATCAAAACCAGGATCGCAACCGGTTCGAAGTGAGCAATGCCTTCTTTTGATACAGGTAGCCGGAGCAGTGATGCAATTATCTTGTTGGAATTATTCCTCAGAATATGAAAACCATGACATCACCCTTGTAAATATTTAGCTCATTCCTTCCAGCATAAGTTCATTCAAAAATTATGAGTGTATTTTTTCCAAATTCAGCTTTTAAAGCAATGTAAGTTCATAAGTTCAGTCCGGTAGGCCTGTCCTTTTGAGTGGAAACAGCTGAAAATTTAAAGGTCATTACTTCTGCAGTTGTTAATTTGCAGCAGAGACAGCATAATAATTCACAGATGGATTTAGATTGTATAGTCGTGATTTTCCTTGTTCTTTTTATTCTTCGGAAGGTGTCACTACAACAGTGAAGCCAACGACAGCCACCTCCACTCCTGTCTCCGTATCAGGTAAGTGAGTGACTGATGGCTTTTCTTTAATATACAGTAGTAAGACCAATGAACAAAAAATATTTACAACAACACGCAGACAGTGGAAGGAGATTGTGTCACTCCTTGCAGATTTTTAATCCCTTACTTCGAGACTGAGCTGATTGAACTTCATTCAAGTAGATAATGTTTCAATCAGATAGTGAGCATGAGCAGAAATGTTGCTTTTACATTTGTGTTGACCTCTCTCTGTCTTAAACAGTACTTCTTTTCCAACATGTCCTAAGTATTTTTGACTAAAGTCCTAATGTTTGATTGAAATCTAAAATGTGTATTTTAAGTTGCTGGTGACAGTCAGCATATTATCAGATTCCAACAGAATTATGATTATATTTTGTAAAAAGATGATTCTTCTGACAGGTTGTATCATTAGAATTTTCCCTTTTCTTCTTTAGTCCAGATAATAATACCTGTGAAATAACATTCTGGTGAAATTTTCAATTCTGCAGGATTTGAAATTGGTGATCAGTAACTTTGTTTTTATTTTTCTTTAAAAGTGATAACTACGCCAAAAGTTATTGCTGAAACCACGACAACTGGTGATTGAGGTCCTCTACGAATAAACACTAGCACACCATTGTACTTTGCTCAAATTC